GCGCGGCGGGGGCCGTGCGGGGCGGTAACTGGAGCCCCGGAGTCTCGTCCCCTCACTCGATCTCTCCCTGGCTCTGTCCCTCCCGCACACACACACACACACACAGAGCTCTGGGGAATTGTAACGGGACCTGAGAGCTACCCACCGGGGATTGAAACCGGATCTCCTAAAGCACACCTAAGGGAATAGCTAGGAGACTACAGAGCTACACCCTTAAATTGAAGGGATTGGAGCAAGATTCAAGGAGAGCCCGGGAGCAGGTGCTTCTCGCCACGCCCACAAAAAGCACCCAAAGGAGTGGCTGCTCACAGGTAGTCAGCTACAGGGATGGCAAAGGGTCTCTTAAGAGTCTGAAGCACAGCATCGCATCTGCCCTTTGGAGCCCTGAAATGGCAAAACGGAAGGGATTCCTGGGGATAATGTGGCAATGGAACCACTCCTTTGACAGAGGACGTTAAGTATTCCCCCAAAAGTCACACCCCAGACTCAGATATGATTGCATATACTTACATATATTCTTCTGAAATGTGCCTCTTATGTATCTGACAGGGAAAACCATTTTAACAACGTTTAGGTTCATGATTTGGCAGGTATGTATCATAAATTGAAATAGGGAGGAGGGATTCAACAAATAATATTTGTATCATTCTTAGCTCACACATCAGTGAGTTTCTTTGAGCCTAACATCAACCCTGTAGCGTAAATAATATTTTCTCATTTTATGATTGAAGAAGGGTGTTCAGCTAAGTTAAGAGACTGAATAGACCATGGAGTTCGCTATGCTGAAAGGAAATTAGTTCTTCTGATGCTAAATCCCTGGTCTCCCCAAGAGGTCTTCTCAGCAGTCCCATTCATCCAACATGATCCTCAGGGCTACATCTTGTGTTTCTCCACAACAAGATAAGATACACTTACATTGAACTTGAATTGCTTAGGACAGTATGATAATGTGCAGGAGATTAAATTAATGGGCTCCTGGACTTTGAGAGTTTCAAATTTTTTAGCTCATCCATACATGCATTAAGTAGATATTGGTTGTGTTCTATGTAGAGGACCTTATTTAAGGTCAGTGGTATCAAAGAGGATCATGCAGACCAAGTCGACTTGAAGAAAATATATTAATATAATTTGGTAGCAAATCCAATACAAACTAATTTAAATAAAGACAGAATCTATTTCCTCAAAAAATCAGAGGATCCAAAGAGCACTTTTTTTTTCCCCCCACTCAGTCAAATCTATTTATTTTACATGTGGTTTAGTATGAAGTCCAGGGCACTCTTTTGAGGCAAGATTGAGACCTGAAATTCAAATGATGTCCTCAAGGGCCTCCTCTCTCCATTTATTGGCTTTACCAGGGTCTTGGTGATTTTCAGGCAGGACCTCCCTAAAGGGGACAAAGGTAGCCACTCCCAGTGTTCCAGGTTTACACAGCCTAAAGCCAGCCATCTCAGGCACCAGTAAACCTTTTTCTGGTGAGGATTTGCACATCCAAGCTTGAGAAATATACCTTCCCTCTGGTGAGATGAATGCAACAGTGATTATCCAGACCTGATTCGCCTGCCACTAAATCATATGGGAGACAACAAAATATATGTAGCCACTACAAAATGTAAGTTTCTTTTCATGGAGCTTCCAGAGAGTAGGGACGACAAGGTCTACAGGGAAGCTAAATAGAAACTATAAAACAACAGTGAATTTGATAATTCTGCTGAACATTATTAATTCAGACAAATGCCAGGCACTGTTTTAGGTATACATATATAAAGATATATGAAAAATGTCTTACATATGTACAAATATATATACACAAATGCACTATGTATTATATATCTTTTCCTTTACAATAATCTTACAAGAGAGGTAATTTAGTTATTAGAGAGTTGAGGAAACTGAGGCCAAGGGTCATTAAGACCACATTTTTAGAAAGTAGCAGAAGCTAGATTAGAATCTAGGCAGCGTGACTCCAGAGCCTTCAGTAACTGCTATGCTGATCTTGCATAGGAAGCACCAACTGAGTAGAGCAAACAAATAAATAAATAATATGTGACCCTTACTTTTAATATTGGATATTCTATGGACATGTAGAATGGTACAGAACAAAATTTTAGCTGATGAAATAACTTTGCAGGTTGCCGTTCTTTATGCTTCATACCTTTTCTTTTTTTCCTTCACAGTCGTTCCAGAGTCCTCTCTTCTGCTCAGATAATAAATAGCTCCTGCTCTTCTTCTCAAACCTCTTTATGGCCCAGCTTTAGCCCCTCCCCAGTACCTAGAGCCCTGACTTTGAGAATCTCCTAACTTTGAGAAGCCCTAGGTAAACCATAAAGAATAACCAGGCCCTCCAAATCGCATTCCCAAAAAGTTTGGAACCGGATCTTGTAGGATGCAGCAGAGCTTGTGCTGTTGTAAGGTGAAGGAAGAGATGAAGCTAGACATGGATATAAACAATGCTTTGTGCAATCCTGCACACCATGCAGTGAACTTTAATGACCCCAAGTTAGTCGTTATAAAAAGAATTTAGTGTTGACATTTTATGTTTATTAATAGCCAGGTTTAATTTCTTATTTAGCCTTATCACAGCACAATAGAAAAAAATTATCATATATTAAGAAGTTATATAAAAGAACATAGTTGCAACACACAGACATTCATGCCCAGCAAATTCCTAAATCAATATTTCATGCCCCATGGGACTTCCTGGGCAGAAGATAATAAATAATTTGCCTTGATTGAGTAACACTAGAGGATTCTAAGCCTAGGTTCCATTTTCTTGTTTTGCCTGTTGGATGGGTAAATATTGCCTGTGGTGTGATATTTTCCCATTTGTTATCCAACAGCTTAGCAAGCTTTGGAGTAGCTAGTGAAAATGTGTTATGCAGAGAACAGTAATACTGACCAATATTATTAAACTGCTCTGCCTTATAAAAATTCTAACTAAAATGTCAGGTACCATTAGGTGTGTATTGAATAAAATATGATCATTTTTAATATATAGTTGACTAGTCATTCATTCTGGTATTTTGCACTATTAAAACAGAAAATATTTTCACCCTTCAATGAATTATTTATAACAAGCATTATTTATCACACACAAAAAAAATTGAATTGGAGATAATCTTCTTCCAAAGACCTTTGGAGCAATTAGTACAATAGATAATGTTCTTAGCTTCCTTATGAAAGCAAGTGCCAGAGTGATATCATAAGAGAAGAAAGAGAAAAATGAGCATGATTTTTCATTCTTTACCTCCATATTAAAAAGCAAGGGGGTTGGGTCGTTGTTTAACTTAGCAAGAAAGTGTTTTTCTTAAGAGATGTCTCTTACTACATTCCTGATGGCATTCATTTGTTGACTGTTTCTTTGTTGATTGTTTTTGTATCTTCTTTCCTAAGATGCAAATAACAAAGCTTTACTCCCTGAAGGGAGTACTGTGGGCTATCAGCCCTTTGAAAGGTCCTTGTTTATGCCTGTTTTATAAGTAAAACCCACAAGTCTCCACAGTGATTCAGCTGGACCATCCCGCCTTATACATATTTCCACTCTATGAATTCGAATGTCCTATCTATGATTTATGTTTGAAAAGGACCTGAATCATGAAATGTGTGTCTCTCTAAAAACAAATTAAAATAAACCAAAAGTAAGGAAACTGTTTCCAATGATGTTGCATTAAGAGTAGATCAATAATTGTGTTTTCTCCTTTTCTGAAGCAAATTAGGGCCCATAGGTACTGACCACTGGGAGTAGGTCCTATTCAGTGGCACCAGCTACTCTCGTCCCTAGACTTTGATGACTGACTATTAAGGAGGAGGCCAACGGCAATGATCAGGGATGCTCTCAAACAAGCTCAGTTATCCAGGGATAGCTCCTGAACTGGGGTGAGGTTGCAATCAAGAGTTCTCTTTTCAATCCTACTCACTTTCCCTAAGGCTTCCTTCTGCTGCTCATGTATCCCTTTACTTGAGAAGTGAGCTAGTGTTCATGTACTTGACAGGAATTAGAGCTGAGATTTTGCACCAGATGCTTCAGTGTATAAAAGGATTGTGGGAAGAACTAGTACTATGTTCCAAAGTACTCAGCCACTTACCAGTTATGGAGTCTTAGACAAGTGCCACCGTGTTCCTTTAGCAAGTGAGATGGTAGGCCTATTTTAAGGTATAAAATACATAAAGCACCCAACACATAGTAGGCAAAATATATTGCTCTCCTTTACCTTTTATTCCATTTACTAGCATTTCTAAATACCATTTATTTTCACTGGGCTTGAAACTACTTTCAGAAAGAAACAAATGATACTTGGAAACTACCCATCATCAAAGTCATAAACAATTTCTGAAGCCCAAGTGTAACTTACTCTGTAATGAGGGTATAAAAATAATACAATTTATATTATATTTAACAATTCACATGTTATTTAATATGATGCTCAAAAAATAATCCTGGGACATGGTAGTCTAATGCCTGAGAATCATAGAATCACAGAACTGAAAGGCACCTTGGAGATTATTTGTACAATCTCCTCATTTTAAATCTGAAGAAATTAAGAACTGAAAAGTCCTGATGACCTAAGGACTGGAAAGTTAAGATACAGATCCTTCAGTTTATAGCCCGGTGCTTTCTTCACTTCCCTGTCTGCCTGGTAATGGAATTTAAATAATAAATATTTGACCAACATTGGCTCCAGGCTTTGAACTTTCACAGGACCAGGAGGTGAAGGTAAGGAGCTCATTCTTCTATCTATTCCTGCAGTTTCAATTTAAACTTAAGATTCTGAAGCCTTCTTCTCACCACAATTGTAAATCTCATAAAGATTTGCTAACTGTTAAAATGACTATTACAGGAAACCACCAAAGGATTTTAAGCAGGACAGTGACATGATCAGATTCATGCATGATACAATACAGAGGACCTGGGAGACAGACAAAAGCCCCTGCTTAGTTCATTTATTCCATCATTCATTTCTGTATGCAACAGTATTTAGTCAACACCTATAATCTTCTGAGCACAAAGTGATCACAAAGCTTAAACTCAAGTGAAGAAGACAAATGATAAGTGACTAACCAAATGAACAAATATTCACAGATTGTGATAAGGGGTAATGAAGGGTATAAACAGTAGGCTGTGTGATGGGGAATATTGGGATAAGAAAGAACTTGTTTAGATTGGATAAACAAGAGAAAGATAACTTTGTGAAGAACTTAAAGAAAAAGGAACAGCAAATGCAAATATTCCTAAGATAAGACCTGCACAGGTGTGTTTTAGGAATTAAAAGAAAGCCAGTTTGGTAGTGAGCCACAAGAGGCAGGGAATGAAGTTGAAAAGATTGTTTATAACAATGGCCTACTAAAAGACTCAGGCAATGTAGATGTTGAGGAAGGGCAAATTCAAGAGACGTTTCAGGATTTGTGACAGATCTAAGATAGCAACCTTTTTGAAGGTGTCAAAAAAGTCTCAGGTTTCTAGTTAAGAGGTGACATTTATTAAAGCTAAAGAATCTCGAAAAGGGAGGGCTGAGGATGGTAGGGGAAGAAGAGTAAGTTCAATTTGGGACATTTTACATTTTATGCGCCTGCCAGGCAACCAGGTAGAAATATTTAGTTAGCCGGAAATACAATGTTTGAAGCTGAGGAGAGAGTCCAGAGATGAGATATTTAAATTTAGAGGGTCATAGATTTTTGGAGCTGAATTCATCAAAATGGAGGAAGTCATTCAAAAAAAAAAATGTAGAATGAAAAGGTAACAGGGCTTAGACTAGAATCCTGTAGAATACCAATATTTAAGAAGAGAGAGAAATCCAGAGAAGTTACACATGTGTATGATGGTGCATTAATTATAAGTTATTCTTATTCTGTATACAGTATTATCAATGTCAAAGATATGATAAGAAAGGATGCTGCTACTGTAGTGAAAACACAATGGTAGAGAACAGGAAATTGAATGTTAAGAATGGAAAGCAAGATAGTTTGACTGGAACAGATAGACTTCATTGAGGCATAACATAGGATATAAGGTTATAGAGATAAGGGAAGAAGGAAATGATGGAGGGAAATTATTGAAAAATCTATAAGAGCTAGACTCAAGAGTATATGGATGTTTCACCAAAGAAATATCCTCTGGGTGTTTGAACAAAGAAGTAATATGCATGAAATATTTGATAGTCATTATTCTGACATCTTCATGTACAAAGAAATAGAGTAGAATGTGACTAGAAGTTGGGGACGATCCAAAAGAAAGGTGTTGGGATAAATCGCATAAAGCTAAATTTAAGTGAAACATCATATATGCATATAGTTGTTTAATATCCGCTCCTGTTCACGTTTTTACTCAAAGTTACTCAAACTATATGATTGTGTAATGTCCAGCCCTACTATTCTACTATGCCATGCATGGGAAATGTGGAAGTGCCATATGACTCAAAGTCCAGTCAAGCAAACTGAAAACACACCCTATCTCAAACAGAAGGCATTAAATACAAGGTATTAATTACACTGTG